CTGTCTTGGCAGGAGTTCTACGGCGATTACATCGCGGTGAATCCGCACGTCTTTTCTCTCAACCTCTTGGGCTGCTGCCAGGTAGGAAAAAAGGCTGATGCTCCCCCCTGGGCCTCGGTGTCTGGTTCCTGGAGAGACCAGCAGCCACGACGGGCTGAGCCTCACAAGGAGCCGGATCGTGGCCTCTGTTGTCCTTCCAAGTGTAGTTTGTTGTAAGAGTTTAAGACTTAGAAATCAGAGCGGGACCTCAGGGAAGGTGCATCCGTACTGGACGCAGCTTTTCCTCCCAGGGGCGCAGCTGGGATCCGGCTCAGCTGGCCAGGACAACCCAGGGGCTGACGGCTCTGCTGCTCTCTCTGAAGAAATGCCCCATGATTCGCTACCAGCTCTCTTCGGAGTCGGCCAAGAGGCTCGCCGAGTGTGTCAAGGTACGGCGAGAACCCCTGGCGACGTGAAATCGTTTTGGCGGCGTTTGAGAGAAATACCCTTTCTCAGTCGCTCGGTGTGAGTTCTGTCGTTTGCTTTGCCGCACAGCTTCGGCCGGGTCACGTCCCTGCCTGCTCCCACCCAAGGAGCAGGTAAAAAAAATGTATTTCCCATGGGTGCTGCCAGTCGCAGTAGGTCACCTGCTGCCCTTTGGGAGCAAGTATTATTTCTTCGGTAGCAGCATAGACTAAGAGCTTTCACCCTTTCTGAAAACATTTTCTGAATACACAGAGGATGAAGCGGCTTTTTTTCTCCCCTTTCTCGACAGCAAGTAATCACTAAAGAGTACGAGCTGTTTGACTTCCGGCGCACGGAGGTTCCTCCCTTACTTCTCATTCTGGACCGGTCTGACGATGCCATCACCCCGCTTCTGAACCAGGTGAATCCCCTCGCAGGTGTGAGATGGGAACGCGAGTGCTGGAAGCCCCCAGGGCGGTAGCTCACGCCTCGGTGGGGCACGGTTTGTATCTGAAAGGTCGAAAGTACCACCTCCTGCTCCCTGTTCCTTTTGAAATCCCTCTCGTGGCCTGGTTTTCCAGCCGAGCAGGGATTGCGTGTGCTGGAGCCAGCACCCTGGAAACGAGGCCACGGTGCCTCCCGTGTGCCGCGCTGCCGGTTTGGAGCCCTCGTGTCTTGGCCGCGTCCTTCCCGAGGGTTTATTGGCGCGGGCGGTTCGGCAGCCCATGGATGTGGTTATTGAGTGACCTTGGCGTAGCTCTCCCTCGGTCTTATCGACGGGTGATGGTATTTACTCTGTGGCTACTGGGATTATTTTTTTTCTCTGCTGCGGATTCTGGCGGAATTTGTGTCCTTTCACCGTGGCAACACCTGTATCACCGGTCAGAACCCAGGACACCAGGAGCGTTATTTGCCGAGGGGAGATTTTTCTCTCTGCGATTTTTCACTGAATATAAAAGGGGCGTCGGGCGTGTCGGTGCTCTGATCAGCTTTCGGTTTTCTCTCTCGGTTAATATTAGTCTTCGTGGGATAAATATAGTAACTCGCTGATGTGCAGAAACGCTGGGTGAGAAAGCAAATTGCGCGGTTTGGAACTGTGGAACCTCTGCAGCCAAAAATACCCGTCCCTTGGCAGGCGGAGGAGCGGGGAGATAATGGTGGCAAACGCCAGAGGTTGGAACAGGAATGTCAGTCCCAGTTGCTCCCTTTTCGAGAGCATTCCCACAGCGAGGCGTTGTCCTTCGGCCGCGGGCTGCCCCTCAGATTCGAACAGGAGCAACACTCTCTGTCCGGGAAAAGTTGGAGCAACGTGCTGTGTGTCACTGGAGGAATGGCTTTGTTTGAGTCCGCGTGTTCATTAATGTAGTCATTAATTACTTAGTCCTTCATTTCCCAGCGCGGTTTGTCATCTTGCTGAGGTCACCCTTTGCTTTCTCTCTCCTCACCCCGGCAGTGGACGTACCAGGCGATGGTGCACGAGTTGCTGGGGATTAACAACAACCGCATCGACCTCTCTCGGGTCCCGGGGATAAGCAAGGATCTCCGGGAGGTCGTCCTGTCCGCCGAGAACGACGAGTTCTACGCCAACGTAGGTGTCTCGGCGAGGCGTAAATTTGGGGATCCGATTCCGTTCTGGTTTTGCCGCGTGAAAAGAACCTCCCGACGACTCTGAGCGTTGGGGCAGTGATGTCTGTTCAGCTGCTGCGAGAGGTGAAAATCAGGGCGTAACGCGGGCGGCATCCGACGTGAAATAACGGGTCTGTTTTTATAGTTTTAAATAAAACCCAGGTGACTCTCAGAGCTGCTTGGGTCTCGGGAGATGACGTGCGATGGCGCTTCAGCCTGTCGGGCGCGGAGTGCCGCCTCGTGGCGGTTGCATCAAGACTCGCGTCGGAAGGGTTTTCTCTCAGGCCCCGGCCTTGTTCCCCGCAGAACATGTACCTGAACTTCGCGGAGATTGGCAGCAACATCAAGAATCTCATGGAGGATTTCCAGAGGAGGAAGCCGAAGGAGCAGCAGAAGCTGGAATCCATAGCAGATATGAAGGTACCGTCCGTCTGCGCGTAACCGAGTGGAGTTTCTGAATCCCTACGCAGCAGGACAGCGCGGGTCGGGTCGCTGCGGCCGCGTGGGCTTTGTGGGCTTTGGTGCCGGAGCTGGGTCATTGGGCGGCCGCGCAGAGCACAGGCTGCTAATTCCGTCCCTGCTCTTGGCAATGTCTTTGGAGGTCCTGCCTGTATCCTTCTGGGTTTTCCAGAGTAAATAAAAAGCGCACCTGCGCTTGCTTAGGTTGTTGCAGATCAGTTTCTGTCGCGCGTGCGTCCACCGCCTCTTGCTTTGCCTCGGGAGAACCGGTCGCTTTGGTTTCCCCATCGCAGGCGTTCGTGGAGAATTACCCGCAGTTCAAGAAGATGTCGGGCACGGTGTCGAAGCACGTGACGGTGGTGGGAGAGCTCTCTCGCCTCGTGGGTGAGCGAAACCTGCTGGAGGTGTCGGAAGTGGAGCAGGAGCTGGCCTGCCAGAACGACCACTCCAGCGCTCTCCAGGTACCGCCGGCTCGAAACCCACCCTTGCTCCTGGGTCGGAGCCTCCGTGCTTGGGTTTCTCCCTTTGTTGGTGCTGAAAGCACGCGGGAGTTGTGCGGGGTTGGGGCATCAGATGTTGGAATCCCTCTTGTCGTCCCCGTTCGGTTCAGATGGGGATGAATCATAGTTAATAACTGGCTTGAGAAGCATCTTTGCAAGTCCTGTCTTTACGTCTCACAATACGCCGTCCCTTCGTCGCACGCAGGCGCTTTGCTTCTGGCATCGGTCAGAAATAAAACTCGGCCCCCGGTGCAGAAGCTTGTTGTGTTTCTTGGGGAGGAGAAGAAATGGAACCCGTGAAATTGTCTAAACCAGAGCGTTCATTGAGCTGCTGGCTTTTACCTCTTTTTTTTTAAAACTGAAAACCGGTGGAAAGCCTCATAGAGAGAAGATTTCTTTGGTGAAGAGGACTGAAAAAGCCCAACAGAGACTTCTGTGATAGCTGAGTACAGACTGAAGTGGTGACCCCGCGCTGGCTTGTTGGGTTCCCTGACCTGACCCAGTATCTGACAGAACGTCGATAGTGACGGGTGGTGGCTGCCGACTGCCCAGAGAGAAGAGCAGCTTTGTCGAGCGTGACCGCGTTAGAGCCGAGTTCAGCCAGCGACTCGCTGTTAAAAACCAATTCCTCACGTTTTTTGTAGCTAAGGTAGAGGTTACACCCTGTAACGGGCTCCTTGATACAGGTTTGACTGGGAAATCACGATGGGCATCTCCAGCAGACTGGGAATCCGTCTCGTTTGCCTCTGCTCCTCGTGGCTGGTTGTGGGATAATATTAGACTCTTCAAGTGCTGTAATCTCTTACCACCTCCTGAGGTGATGGGAATCGTTGAAGGCCCCGGTGAAGAAGGGGATGATGTGAATTCTGATGACGGTTAAGAGAGTGACCGTGGGCCGCCCCATCGTGGGCAGGTGCTTGCCGGAGCTCCCCTTGTCGCTCGTTCGGGCCTTGGTCTGTGCTAATTGGGTATTTCTGCAGGTTTTAAAGCAGAAGAGCTGCCTGCAGTTTGCTCACAGCCTGAGGGGCTCTGTTGTAGTTCAAACTGAGAGCGACTGGAAAACGTGTGGCAGCTCGGAACTAAACACCGGAACCGATCGGCTGTGGAACCGATAACTTTCTGCACCAGAGACCGGCGCTGCGCCGCCCTGGGCTGCTCCCTGGTGCAGCCTCCCCCGTGGCAGCAAGAGGGGCAAGGCCACAGAAACAATGAAGAATAAGCCAGTGGACGAAATAAAGGCGGAATTGTTTTGCCCCTGATGTAACTTCAGCAATTGTTCATTTCTCTGGTGGCCTCGGGCCCCCGAGTACAGTACGTTTTGGTTATTCTTCCCCTGCTCTCTTATTAATCCTGACGTGGTACATGAGCCCTGAGAGCTGAATGGGAGGTTTTGAATCCCATCTCCTCCGGCGGACAATAGCTTTTCTGTTCTACGTGCTTCCCGCTCAGATGGGCATTGCCGCCGCGCCGCCAAAACCCGCGCGAGCCGACGTCTCCGTGGGGCTCCCTCACAGGTGAATTCCTGACCTCGCCGACAGCAAAACTCCCGGGGATCCTCCTCCCAGCCAGGAGTTCATCCTGTGTTTTCCCAGCTGGTCAGCATCAGGCACACAACCAGCAGCAGACGGGGCCGAGTCGGCGCCGTGAGTCGCGACAGTTCCACGACTTTCATGAAAAGACCCTGAAGCGACTCGCGCTCCGTCATACTCCAGGAAACCCAACCCCGGGCCCCGTTGTTTCTGACACCGTTTAATTCTCTTGCATTCCTCCTGTTGCTGGGCAGAGGGCTCGCTATTACCCCAATTCCACGTCCCCTGAAGGCGTCTCCCCTCAGAGCGCTCTCTCTCTCGCCGCAGAACGTCCGGCGCCTGCTGCAGAACCGCAAGGTGACGGATCTGGACGCCGCCCGGCTCGTGATGCTCTACGCCCTGCACTACGAGCGG